GAGCCTTGAGCAGCCTGATCTAGTTGAGAGGCATCCCTGCCCATGACAGGGAGGTTGGACTAGATGATCTCTAAGGTCCCTTCCAGCCTAGGCCACTCTATGATTCTATGAAATGCTATAATATATGTTGACATATGCAGAGCTGAGCCTCAGGAGAAGTGATTTTATCTGCACTGGAAAAGACCCTCAGTCTTTGCTGCCTGACTGAACGACAGTCAGGAGAAAGCTTGTGTAGATGCTCGTGAAGTCACTGGTGCCTGAGAAGGTGATCGGCCAGGAGCAGACACGTGGCTTGTGTAGGTGCATGTGATGTCACTGGTGTGTTAACCAAGTGCAGTAGCTCAGACCTTGGTTGTCAAATGGAAATTCATTAATCATTGCTATAAGATACAAATTTATCAAATCTTAATTGAAAGCAGGCAAGGAAAAAGCACTCAGCATCTTACAAAAGTCATTTAGTAACATAGAGAAATTATCTTCATCTTTTAGACTACTTCATTCTAGGCACTTCAAGACGACAATAAATGTAACCGCATACACTGTTTGTTTTTTTAAAAAAGAGAAATGTCCTTATCTTGAAAAAATATAAAAATTAAAATTTGCAAATAATTTTAAACTAAAGAGTGAGATTTATCCTGCAGATCCCTTTTACTTTGCTAGCAAAAATATTTACCATTCAGTTAGTAAAACAGCTTTAAGTACTGCATAGACGAAGAACATCCAGCCTTTCTGGTTGCTCAGACCAGGTAGCTCACCTCCTGGTAGGTGTGGACTGCAGACTGCACCTCTCTGACAAGCCCTGGTGGCCATGGTTAGGACTCAGTATGTTCTCAGTACAGGCCTGGACATCTGAGGTGTATCAGACCCATGTGGACCCACCTAGGGTGGGCCAGTTGCTACGTACTATGCACAGCTACGTAGAGAAGGAGCTACCACTCCTAGGAGACTATACGCAGTTCATGTCAAACAACCTTCTAATCACAAGCAGAAGCAGCCATCAGATTGAGAAAAGACTGTGGCCAAGACTGGTCTCTTGCTTTCAAAGCAACTCATCCAGCCCCAGCGCTTCCCTGTGCCATAGTTTTTTTACAACAACTTCTTGTATTTGTAGTTTTTAACTGGTATTGCAACTACAAAATCTGGATCATGGAGGTAGAGTACTCTGATAATGCAGAGTTCAAAAAAAAGAACAAATAACATGGTTAAGTATAAATGAGTACTTTAATTCCTAATACTTCTCTGACCTTTTTCAAGTATTACATTCATATCTCACTTTGGGAAGGAACTTTCCTGTGTATCACATAAAATATATTTACATTCAGGGCTGAATAAATACCATCATTCACTGTGAACTTCAGAAAGGTTTAGGCAAATTAATTTTGGACAAGATTGCTCTTCTTTGCTGTACATGTCTCAATGAATGAAAGCCAAGAACTCAAGTTAATTTTCACCTGGTCCAGCAAAGACCAGAATAGGGACTCCACCTTTACAGAGCTTTACATGATATAAGGAAAGAAGAGTACACATTTTAATTATGCGAATATCATTCTCTAATATAAAATACAATTAAAAAATCTATGCTGCTGTCTATCAACTACAACATACCCCTTTCAGGACAGAGAGACCCAACAGCATGCGAAAGGACTGCCAGAATCCGAGCACAGAAAGAAACAGGGAACTTACAGAGAGGAGTATTTGGATAGCGCTGTGAATGACCTCTAGGTACTGGAAATCAATCATGCAGCCCGTCACGGAGATGTAGGAGTAATCCTCTAGGATGCCAGGGGCAGAAGGACGCACCACCCTCCGTATGCAGCCAGGACCGTGTTCCCGCCACCAAGAGCGGTGCATTGAGATGTTGAAGGTCATGAGATCGGTTTCCTAGGAGACAGGGAGGGAAAAAGTGTGAAAAGATCTAATTTTGTGTCATTTAAGGTAAAGGAAGGGAAATGATGTTTTCACTCATCAAAGGAAGGGAAATAAAAGATGTTTCAACTATTATAAGGAAAATGAGATAAATAACTTCCCCCTCACTCTAGTAACATTAACAAGAGAGTAGGTTGTTAAAGGGGAGAAGGGAAATTGCAAATATTTATTGTTTATTTTATAATTATGCATAGGAGCTTCTGTCTAGCAGAAGAACTGTTGTACTAGATACTGTAAAAAACATGGTGCATTTCCTACATCTCCATGGACTTATAGTCTGAAAAGCAATTTCGTTGTTATTTAATTAGAATGTCACTTAAGAATTCATTCTTTTTTTTAACACATAACAGAGACAATTTTACACCATGGTACTGGAGACAATCTAAACCAAGCTTCCACCTTATTTATATAAAATATTAACTATAAATTATAGCTATTATTTTAAGTTGGACTGGAGATGGGCAGACTGTTCCGGCTGCCAAAGATTTAAATGAAAAGTTATGTCCAGCCAAGCACCCTGCTGTCTCTTCTGCCCTCTGCCCCCTATCCAAATCACCAGGACACCTACTTTGGTGAATGTATCTGGGTTTATAATACAAGCAACAACTTCTCTTAAATTATCTTCAGCCCAAACCACAGCCTGTCTGATCAGGCCTTAAACCTATCTAATGGGAACTGGCTGCATTGTAGCCCACACAGAATGTAAAATGTCTGTGCATTTTAGTAAACGTCACCCCACTTCCACTTGGAGCAGTACTCAATTTAGTACTGATGTCCTAAAGATTTTCTAACAGCTTTTCTATGAAGTACGAACAGGAAAATTCACCTGAATTTAGGTCTTTAGGTCACGCTCAAGTTAAATGCACTGAGGTTGAATGGATGCCATTTAAATGCAGGAAAAACCCATCCTCCTCACTGGTGTTAAGTAAGAGTTGAGTTATATTGATACTTTAAACAACTAATTCAGATTCACATTTCCATGTTTCCCATTCTCAACTCCAAGGTAGCTGTAAAAAATATGTGCAAAACTGTCAGCCATATGCCCACAAAATAATCCCCTTTCCATACATGCCAGGTTGTGAGCACTGCTATGACATGGACTTGCCCTTTGCATCTCACTCCAAAAATCTGTCCTGTCAGTTTACTTTCACCCTGACCAAAGGGACATTCAGTACAGATTCCAGTTGCAGAATTAGTCCTCTTGCTGCTTTCTCTGTTAACTGTCTTTATTCTGTCCACACCTGGAAATGAAGAGGTGAATTACATCCTGCCAGTCTCTACTACTGCTAGTTAGCAGTAAGAAATCTGCCTCTGCGATCTGCTGTTTTGCTCTCCATTACTTCCTTCCCTTAAAATGCAGACTCACTAGAGTATTATTTACACTTGATGAAGCATTTGTCTTTTGACTTTGCATGTCATTCCTAGATATTGGTTTAGAACATTTTCAGCTGCAGTATGAAAATGACTTGTGAAATCAGAAGTTGGTAGACAACTCAGTTTAATGAAAATATAATTATAAATACATAGTCACAGGAAAACAGCTGAGGCTTTCTGTGTACAACAACACCAGAGATTGCACAGTGTTATCAAGTGCTTTTAACAATTGTCAACTGTAAGAAATATCATTTGTCAAGTAGCACACATTCACTCACATCTACTTCAGTAACTCTTTGGTGAGCAGGAATAGGGATTTGCCATGTGGGTCAGCATGTATCAGATATTGCAAGGTAATGCTTTGTTATCACAATTGTGGGAATAAATCACGACGTTTGTGGCATCGATGTTACAAATTTATTTTCTCTCAAGTTTTTTTTCCTTCCTTTTTTTTTTTTGTCTTTAAGTTTTGATTATTATGCTCTGTTTCATTGTTTGTGCTTGGCTACTCCACAGCCAATGGCACAGAGAAATGGTGAGTTTGCATAGTCAAACAGCTTGATAAATACTGCTAACACATTTAACATGTAAGAGTTTGGCATGTGGTCTATACCAACAACTCTTATAAATAAAACCTTTCATTTCTGGAATATTTTTATGTTTGATTCTTGAGATGATATAAAAAATTGTTTGACTTCAATGTCAAGTACATATTTCATGGGTGCTGGTGACGCAGCGAGAGAAGGAAACAGCAATATCATAGTTAAAATTCTTTGACTGAAAACAAAAGAGATGTCATTACAGCACTTGCTGCTTTTTTCAAAAAAAGTTATTATTTGGAAATTACAGAAAAATGCTAGAAGAAGTGTTTTTCATAATTTTCACTATGTAAATGTCCTGAGGAGTCCTCAAAGCAGGTAAAAGTGAGTAATGATGGCCCAGCAAAGATCAGTCTTATAAATGCAAAGAAAACCACCTGGTGCATTAGCTTGACCTCTAAAATATCACTTCACAAAATGGCAGCTGTAAGCTGTTTGAGCTGATAAATGTTAAGCTGCTGATCAATAAAAGAAAGCCTGACAAAAATCAATTATTTTTTTTTAGTGGCTTAAGCACACTCCTCTCTAACTTCTTGGAGATTCTTAATCCATAAAGCGAGTCGAATGTGCCAGGCATTAAAAAATTAACCTGTATATTTACCGTCACTTACAGAAATTTACAAAATCCAGAAACTGTGTGTACAACTTTTAAATACCAGTGAACGTCTGAGAGTGTTTCAGTATTTGTGAACTCAGCCCTTGCACCCTGTGCTTGGTGGAAAAACTGCTGCCCAAGTGGCTTATTCTCAGTTGTATGTTAATAAAGTCTAGAATTCTTTCAGAAAAGACTTGAAGTTTTACAATAGATCATATACTTTTTTTCCAATGTCATATGCAGTCATTAAGCAAACGTATATAAAATTCTTAATCTTCAGCAGGTGATGTAATGTAAACTGCTTATTTCTTATAAAAGAATGCTGCTGCACCATAGCAAGAGACTCAGTTTCAGACTCTGTACAAGAGACATCAAGCAGTCTCTTTGGAATTCATTTAGCAATTGAAATTTCAATCATGGATGGAAAATCGCTGTCTTCTGAGCTTCAAACCCATAACACACATCTTTATCTTAGTTCCATACATCAGCAGGTGATCTATACTTCCTCAGCTGGTAACCTCTCAGACAGATGCCATAAATGAAGACTGGGCAGAATACAGATAATAGAACTTCAAGGAAAGTCATGGGGGACTTAAGAGAAGTGAGGCAGTGAAGATTAATCCTATATCCTACTCCTTTTCAGCCAGCTCTGAAGCGGTGCTCCAGTCTGTGGTGAGTTTTCTCCTGAGCAGAGGTGCAGCCCAGTAATCACATTTTCACTGACCTAGAGTCCTACTTCACTGTCTACAGCTTTCTAAGCTTTTAAACTATGCATAGGATTTGTCTTGGCTGGCAGCCTGAGGATTAATTTTGATCATTATTGGAAATCTTTACTATGGCAGGTACTTCCTTTTAGGTGAGATGTAATCCCATTAAGTCCCAATAATACTGTTTTCCTAAGTGCTCGGAGATAATGTTTAATTTCATTACATCTGCTTAAATTCTACATTTGGGTTCAAGTGGACATTTTCTATTGGGCAGGGCTTTGAGCATCCTGGTCTAGTCAAAGATGTCCCTGTCCATGGCAGAGAAGTTGGTCTAGATGATTTTTGAAGGTCCCTTCCGACCCAAACACTTCTGTGATTTTATGATTCTATTTTTAGGTGGTGAACAGAGAAAAATTTCAACAGATAGCATAACATAGTTTATTTTAAAACTAAAATATTTCCATTTATTCAAGTATAATTCATGTATAGTACCTATAACAACAAAATAAAAAAGGAATTGAGAAATAAAGCCTAACTAAAATTACCAGAGGTAAAGAGAAAAAGATACTAAAACTCCAGGAAAAAAACCCAACACAACAAGATTGCCTCATATAACAAAGGGATACAATGATGTGACGTGATGATTATGCATTGCAGAAATATTTTTTTTCCCACTGTATGTTTCTGCTTTACGACATGTTATTTTATATTTGTTTCCTTCATTCCTTGTTAATATCTGAAAAATACATGATTAGGAAAACTGTAAGAAAGACACTGTATGAGTGGGATGGAAGGGAAAAGTTTTTTCCTCAGTGAGACAGCAGTCAACACCTGAAATTTCACAGAAAGGTGCAAGAACACAGAGGCCTGGCAAAGCATATTGTTAGGGATTTTAACTCCATTGTTATCTGTGTGGTACCTAGCCTTTCCTAACAGTTTTAAATTTTTTTAAAATATTTTTTATATTTTTATATTTACATCCTAAAAGCATATTATAAATAAACATTAATTAGGTTGCAGCAATAAGGATTCCCATTCCATTTCCTATGAGTAACAAAGATGCTCTAGTTCTGACTTTCTACCTAGTTTCTGGCTTTACCAGTGAGGAGAAAAGTTTCCCAAATAAACACCCGGTTAACAGGTGATAGAGGATAACATGCATAATGCTGAGAAAAATTACCTTTCCTTGTAATTAGCTATACCCAATTAAGATTGTAGTTAAGATTCAGTGGTGTTGGCAAGAACAAGGGACATACACATTCCTTAGTATCTAATTTCAAGGAGACATTAATCCTCATTAGATACAAATGATGTCCTCCATCATTAATGAAACTGGCTCTAATTGTAGATGTACCTTGAAGCATAAGCTATTAGCTAAAGAGCCCCATTGGCAGCATAACCTTAGTTTTCCATCCTGTTATTTCTTGAAACCACAGGTTCTGATCTCAGCTTGCTCTGTGGGCAACTCGTTAGTCTCCATCTCCTCCAACTACTGCGGAACAAACTGGTTTTGAAGGCATGGACAGATAATACGAAAAAAATCCACTGACAAATAGGAAATCTTGTGCCCCTAGCTCCCACACTGTCTCGATTGGGATGCTCATTTTTGAATATTGACTATTGACTCTTTTTTTTTTCAGTTTGTTTTTAATTTGAACTCTTGCTTCAGTGTTACACAGA